TTCTCCCGTTCTCCAAGAACTCTCAAAGATGGTTGCCAATGGTTCCGAAATGACTTCCGCTAGTTCCTTCAATACTCTGGGGTGTAGTTGATCTGGCCCTGGGGACTTGAACTCATTAAGAGCGGCCAGGTATTCCTGGACGACTTCTTTCCCAATTTGGGGTTGGATGTCCTCCAACCCCAATCTCTTCTCATCTATCTCTTGACTGATCTCTTCTCATCTATCTCTTGGCTCATTATCTATTTTCTCTCTTGGCTTGTCATCTATTTGCTCATTAATTTCTGCAGGTGCATCCCCACACCCCTCATGGACATTATCATGGGAAACATGGGATCTCCTGGTCATTCTCTGCATCAATATCACTGCTATCTTGAAACTCATCTTGAACCTCATTAACACCATTCCCTATATCCAAAGCACCCTGATCCTGAAACACAATCACAGGCTGAACTCCAACAAGTACTTTATGTTGAGTTATACCTGCAATCTCCTGCAAAGAATCGTTGCCTTGTCGTGGTGCTGGAGCTTGAGCACCTCGATGATGCCATGAGTGAAACTGTGAAGGGATACCAAAGACAGAAAGGTCATGGCAGAGAGATCAGACCAAATACGATCCCTGAAGAAGGTAATGGCAATCCACCCCAGTATTCTTGCCATGAAAACTAAATGGGTCTGTACAACCAGAGATATGTCAATATACCATTGGAAGATGGGACTCCCTGTTGCATCCCAGATCAGGAAACGAGACCATAAGATTCAATCCACCACACTGGACTGTGAGAAAAACAATCCTTTTTTATTGATGAAAAATGGTTACAAAAGAAAAGTAAATGCAAAGTCAAAAAGCCACAGTAGAAACTCAGCAGTCAGGAAAAATCTTTGAACTTGAGCAAAATTCCAAAAACAACAATACAGACACCAGGAACCTGTTAGCATCACTAACCATACTTGAAAACTAGAAGCCTCTGGGAATGCAGGCCATGGAACGCAGGAAAACTGCCAAGGTGCTGCCTCAGTCTAAAACGTTGCTTGATCTAATGAGACAACCGGGGGGAGGCCCCTTAAACCAAAGAAACTATTTCTTGAAACGCCTCCAGACTTTGAAGCCTCCCTCTCCCGTAATCCATTTGACCTTCGTAGAAACCGTGATTCACTCCTGTTTTTCCAAATCTGTTCCCTTCGGTCCTCATTAAAAAACCCAGGTGTGATTCCCTCTGGAGAGCTATCACGGCCTGATTCCAAAACATTCTCATCAGGCTGTTCAGTTTCACTTTCCCCGCCACTGACTTCAGCATCAAGGGTTTCAACACTATCAGGGAAAGATACATGTTCAGTGGCTTGCTCAGTTGCATCAGGAAATACACTCAGAGAATCAGGTTCACACAGAGATTGAGGCTCAGTTTCACACGGAGGTGGCTGAACCCCAACACTCCCAGGTTGGAAAGATGGTCAAAATGCTACTGGGGAGGAACAGAGGGTAAGTTCAACTAGCCCCAGATGTGGAGAAGATAATGATGCTGGGAAAAAAATGGAAGGAAAAAGGAAGAGGGGCAGACCAAGGACGAGATAGATGGATGGTATCTTTGAAGTGACTGCTTGACCTTGAAGGAGCTGGGGGTGGCCACAGCCGACAAGGAGCTCTGGTCCATGAGGTCACAAAGAGTCAGAAGCGACTGAATGAATAATAATAAAAAACACCTGCAATCCATCTTATACAAAGGCTAGCTTCTTCCAGGCAATCAACCTTTCCCAAAAATGGTAGCTAAAATCCTGCATTGCATTGGTAAATGTAATAGAAATAGCTAATGCTATGTCTATTCCTCTTTCCTTGAACATATTGGGGATTTTCCAAAAATGTTTCTAAACTGTGGATAAAGCATGCAAATGAATTTCCCTGAAAATAGCTAATAGACCATTGCTGAATTCTGTGTTTTGTATAAGATTCTGTGGTGTAGGGCAAAACTATACAAGAACCACACTAAATCAAAACTCAAAGTAAACGATGCTTATAGATACAAACTAAGTACAACAATTTTATTTCACTCCTAGATTCTTAGAGTTCCCAAACTATGTTGTAAGGGCAATAGAGGTTAACCGTTGCCCTCCAGCAATTGGCATTTATTAGCATATTTTAAAATTAAATATGGATAATTAATCTATGACTAATAATTATTGATGTTCCAGTTCTCACATCATATCACTTTGCTAATCTGGTGTCTGGAAGAAAAATCCATATGTCTACAGGTCATGCTTTGACATTCCTTGATATGTACCAAAATATGATAGTTGTACCCATACCACCTGAACAGTATAGGTTATTTATTTATTTATTTATTTATTTATTTATTTATTTGAAGACGGCTCGGAAGCTCCAGCTAGTCCAACGCTCGGCAGCCATGATACTAACAGGAGCGGAGCGCAG